GCATGATGTGTTCCATGTGTCGCAACTTCGGAAGTATGTTTCGGATCCTTCACATGTGATTGAGATGGATGATATTCAAGTGCGAGACAATCTTACGGTGGAGACGATGCCGTTAAGGATCGAAGATCGTGAGATAAAGTCTCTTTATGGCAAAGAGATCTCCTTGGTTAAAGTTGTTTGGATAGGAGCAGCTGGTGAAAGTGCGACGTGGGAGTTAGAAAGCAAGATGCGGGATTCCTATCCCGAGCTTTTCGAGTCAGGTAATTTCGAGGACGAAAATTTTATAAGTGGGAGAGAATTGTAACGCCCCGTTTTATTTAATATTATATTATATTAATATTTTCGAGTTACCGTTTGACGTTTATTTTTGTGACGAGAATATTTAACTTAATTGTTATATCTGTTAATATATTCGGCGACGTTTTATTCGGACCGGTAATCATTTTATTTGGTCTGGTATTTGTTTTGAGGGACCGGTAATTATTTTATTCGGTTCGGTATTTATTTTGGGGGACCGGTAATTATTTTATTCCGTCCGGTTGTTATTCCGTTCGGTTCGGTAAAATATTATTCGAACCGATATTTAATTTTTTTGAGTTATTTTAATTATTTGGGTTAATAATATTATTTGATATTATTTAGTGTTAATTAGTAGTATATTTTAAGAAGGGCTTTTTGGTATTTTGCCTAGCTTTTGTCTTGCATCAAAACAAACCAAACACGCTTGTTTTATGACATAACATACAAAACACATTTTGTGAGAGTTAGAGAGAACAAGAAGGTCTTGGAGAGAAGAGCAAGAAGAACACCATAGCTTGGGTTTTTGGTTGGTTGAAATCATCAAGAATCATTTCAAGTATCTAAGGTAATGGGTTTGATTTTTCAATGCTTATAGTTAGGGTTTGATTTGGTATATTTTGATTTGGGATAAAATTGATGTTAGGGTTCTTGAGATTTGTTAAGATAAATTAGGAGAGTTAATTTAGGTGTTAGGGTTGTGGGATTACTGTTATGTTAATAGAAATTAAATTAGAAAAACTAAATTATATTAATTAAGTTAAGTTTATAAAACTAAAGTATGCGGTTTGTTTCAAAACAAAATGGAAATGGAAGTACTATGCAATATAGAAATTAAGTTAAGTTTATAAAACTAAAGTATGCAGTTCGTTTCAAAATAAAATGGAAATAGAAGTACTATGAAGTATAGAAATTAAGTTAAGTTTATAAAACTAAAGTATGCAGTTTGTTTCAAAACAAAATGGAAATGGAAGTACTATGCAGTATTGAAACGAAATGAAAGTTGGAAACAGTATGTTTTATGATGTCGTCGCCATTCCGCTGTTTCATGAATTATGTACTTTTTTTTTTTGAAAAATAGTTTATGTTTTGTTTTTCTTTTCTTAATTTAATATATTAAATATTTATATTAATTAAATACAAATATGACATAAGTTAACCGATTTAATTTGGAACCCGATTATGTTCCTCGATTTCGGCAATTTCGGCGACGGAGCTAGTTGCTCCGAATTGAACGATAACTGACGTGCTAGCTAATTTCGACGTGTAGAACTTCGTGGTGAGGTTAGTTTTTCGAGATTTCAAGTTTTTATGAAGCAACCCGAAATAGGCCAATTTATGGTTAATTTGAAACGGGTTGCGTTTTAGTCGGTTTAAGTCGTGTATGGACAATCCGATTGCAACGTTAATGATTATGATTGATGCCGATTATTATGAATGACTTTCGCGACGATTATTGATCTTTGACTATTTTTCCGTGTTTGAAATTTAGTGAATTATTTGATAATGATGTGGTGTGATTAAACATGATGTTTGCGACGGTTTATTTATAATGAATACTTGACGATATGCGATGTGATGATATGTTTATCTTGATGTGGATAAATATGGAGAGGTGAGCTTTATTCCAATTTTGATGTGCCATGATGATGTTTTGTTGTGTCGTGTTTGTGATGTCATTTTGTCGAGTCACATGCATTGCATTGGCGACAAGGGCTTTTATGCCAAGCGAAGAGGGCTTTTATGCCAAAGTGACGATGGACTTTTATGCTGAATGTCCCTAATTATGGACAAAGCGACGGGTACCACATGCATAACATAGTCGTGTCTCATGGAGTCGGTTATGTTTATTTTTGAGTCTTTTGGCGTTGAGTTTTATTTCATGGCTTATGATGAATTGCGATAATACATGATACTTTGTTTTGTGATGATTTTTGTGTTGAACATAAAGTGAATATGATGCGATAATTTCATGATTAGTAAGCGATGAATATAACATGATGGTAAAGCGACAATATGAGTTTATGGCAATGCAGTTTATGTCTTGTTTTGGTATGATTATGATGATTACGTGACGAAATTAAAGTGTTGATTTTATACACTAAATGATGATTTAAAGTGTGTGAGATTTGGATGTGTGCTGACATACTCTTATTAATCCTATATCATTTATGATTCCAAAAATATTTATATATTTTATCATGCCTTTAGTTATATGTTTTGGAGTATCTCACCCTTTACTTGTTTCATTGTTGCCTTTATATTGGTAACGTGCAGGTGATCCGCGAGGATGATGAGGATTAGCTCGAGTCTCTTTATTTTGAGTCGCTCTGCTCTGATAGTAGTAACACTCGGGATTTGGGCGACGTTATTATTTTGATAGGATAGTTTATGTATACTATCTTATGACTTTATGTATTAATAATAACATGATGATATGTACATTTTGTGAACACATCCGTTGTGATGTGATTAGTCATATGTTTATATGATGATTTATATTATGAATCGGTATATCGGACTTTTGATTTTGTGATGTGCATTATAATGCAAAGTGTTGAAAAACACGAATATGTGATACCTCAATTTATGTTTGGACGAAATTTTGAAACTCTGACTTTATTATTAATTACGAGGGGTAGAATTGGGGTGTTACAAATGGCGCCAAAAACTTGATCGTGACTTTGAGAATCTGTCGGGTGTAGTGACTGCAAGTGCACAGTCTAATCGCGTAGTTTTAAAAGACATCAAATCCACAAGGACTGATGGTCAAACTACTGTTATCTAGGGTCACTGTGTAAAGTTAAGGCTAATTATAAAATTAGGATGTTGGGGGTTTAAACGGGAATTAACTAAAATCTAATAATTGATAACGGGACACCGATATGTAAGTTGTCGACTTCAGGGATTCAATAAGTTATTGGCATAGTTTTTAACTATTAAAATATTATTTCAGTGGAAACTATTAATTTAAAACCCATTGTCTCACACTTTCGTTCTATCGATTCAGGCCATATTATTAAACTCAAATGAGTGCTCTCGCCGTGTCATTTAAAATTTAAAAGTATTTTTTGAAAACAAATAGAGTCCAATTAATTTTAAAGTGTTGCAACTAGCTTTTAAATAAGAGTCGCCATCTTTAATATTTATCCTAAGGAAGGGAATATAAAGGATAACCCTAAAAGTTATAGATTCTAGGTTTTTTGGACTCGGTTCTAGACGAATGGAAGGTGTTAGGAACCTCTCACCTACCTTGTTCACGAGGATACTAGGGTTAGAAACTTGATCTTAGAAAATAGGGTTTTAATTTTTATTAGGGGAACTCGCCACGATTTTAGTCGTATGCCTACGTAGCCTCTTATGAGGAATCAGAGTCCCAATTCGCAGTTCATAGTGTTGGTTGGTGTTTTTTATAAGATTATGTAGAATTAATTTCGCATTATCCTTGAACCTTGTCTGAGTTGTAAATTGAGTGATCGTAGACGCGGTTCGCAATTAATTTTGAAAGAAATTATCCTTAATCTTTTTTTATGAAAATGTTCTTGAGTTTTTGTTATGTTAGTAAAAAATGATTTGATGTTGGTTAGGTGTTTTAATGTCTGATTAGTCGAAGTATGTGGTAAGACATAGAGCGAGGAGTTTGATATAGTCTCCTCATCACGTGGCCGGATATTGGCCACGTGTCATTCACGGATTGTGATTTGGATGAGTTGCATGGATTTTAACTGTTTGATTTTGAATAATAAACCAGGAGACGATGTGTCGACCGATTTAATTACTCGAAGATGGACATCTTATTATTATAAAATGTTAGAATTAATTTGATTAAAAAAGTTAAATTTTTAGTTTCTTATAATTAAAAGTTAGTAAAATATAATACACTAATTTAATTTTAACAACTAATCTAAATGAATGAAAATATTTTTGTCTGTATTTTTCATAAATAATTAAAAATGGACTACACAAAAGTGATTTAAATAAATTGATAACAAATAAATGACATAGAATTGGACTTTGGCCACATATATTAGAATTGGGTCTAATAATAAAAGCACAACATTTTTTACACTAACTAAACTACACCCTTTGTTCCATGTGAGAATGAGGAAAAAATCACCATTCATTAGTATGTATAGGATCACTACTTTCCCAATTGAAAAACAAAACAAATCTTTAGTGTTAATAAAGAGAGAATAAAATTATGAATAGGTAATAAAAGGTAAAGCAATAAAAGTTGGATAAATATTTAATAAAATAAATTAAAAAAAACGAATGTAGAGAGTCATGCCTCTCTCCCTCCATGTTTATAGACATTGTAGTGTCTTTTCTCAATAACCAATTTATTTCCTTTTTTTTATAATATTCAAAGTGCCAATTAATATGCACTTTTCTCTCTTTAAACCATTCAAAACCACTCTTACAACAAACAAAAATACAAAAGAAAACTCCAACTCTCTACGTTTCTTCTTCATCCATTCGAATGAATTTCACAACAAACACACAAACTTATATATGTTAAGAGTCCCACATCGGACAATATATGGCCTGAACATGTGTTTATAAGTGGGGGCAATCCTCACCCTACAAGCCGGTTTTGTAGGGTTGAATTAGGCCCAACCACAGTCCTTTATTATCTTAAAAAAACATCAATCCACACCACTCAACATCACCCACGAGATCTAGAAAAGGAAAAAAGAATTACCTCACATGTTCAGATCCGGCTCTGATGACGCATAGTGTACGGCGGAGCAGGTTGGGTTGTCATCAAAGATTGAGGTTGCGGAAATAGGGATCTGATTGGTGGAGGGACTCAAATCTTTCGGTGACGCGCATGCATGTTGATGGTAAGCACGGGGTCTCGGCGGTGGCAGCCCAACTGTGGGTCTAGAAGTGTGTGCGGTGGTGCCGTCGAAAAGCGGGATCATGGTGTGGTGGTTTGAGGAGGTGCTGGATGTAGCGCCGAAGAAGGCTTGATTCAGAATTTGAGTCCTCCTTCATCTTTTCCCACAAAACAAAAAAGACAATAGCAACAGTTTTGTTATGTTTAGGAGTTCCAATCAATAATTGAACTTCACGTTGTGTTTCTTCTTTTTCCTGCAAAGATATGAAGTTTTATTGTTAGTAATGTCAGGGACTGTTTTTTCTGGAAATTGCAGTTATTGTGTTTTGATGTTTGTTGTGTTGATTGATTGTTGTTTCACTAATTTTTTTTGGATTTTTCTTACTGTTATTTTTCAAAGGAATTAACATACATAATACTTGACCATATGAATTTTCACGTACACATATTGTGATACATGATATTGATTCAAGTTTTTATGTATAAAGTGTCAAAGGTTAAATAAACAGTGCAAAATTATAGCAAGGTTGAACCTATATACAAATTAGATTTGATACGCAAAAAAGTTTCATGTTTAAAATATCAGAGAGTAAATGATATTAATCCCGTAGGCAAAGAACAAAATACAAAAAATGAAATAGCAAATGGGTGAATATTGTAGATGTTTGAATTGTGTTGTCATCATGAAAATTTTGTATAAACCTACAACAAAATAAAACAAGAATGGATAGAAATTTGTACAAAAAGTGTGTTATTAGTAAGAAATAGTAACAGACCGTAAAAAGATAGTGAACAATAGTTTGTTATTCTAATTAGTTAATAAATGGGAAAAAATTGTTTACAGTGTGAAAGTATATATTTTTGTATGAAAAAAATTCAAGAGTTCTATGATATGTAAATAAAATTGATGAAAAACTTTGTATAAATTTCTACCAAAGGTATTTTTTAAATAAGAACCATTAGAACAAAATGGTTATATGGGTAAAATAACAAACAAATTTAAAATAAAATTGAAAACAAAATAAAGGGGGCCTCATATGAAATCATCGGTCGTAATAACAAAATAACACCAAAAGTGTTGAAAATAAATTTTAAAAGAAAGTGTGTGGAATTGTGAGAAAGTATGGATGTGTGAGAAAGTGTGAATTTCTTTGGATGATAAACTAGGACAATGAGGATTCTTATTTATAGAGTGGGAATTAGGTTAAATAGACTTAACAAGTAAGTTATCTAAAGTGAATGAAAATCCCAAGCCTGATTTCCAAAAAGGAAAGAAAATTAATAACAATAAGAAATAAAAAGAACGTCACAAGTGCTCCACAAGAGATTCAAATCCATGACCTTATACTTCCAAGCTTTATTATTTACCAATTGTATTGTGTTACTCATTTGTAAATAAATTCAATTTGAAGGAATGTGAAAGGTGTGCAGATATTTGATATTTTAAAAATACAAATAATTTGAAATGTATCATTATATTTTTAAATAGGTTTGGAAGCGAATATTTATAAAAATCAAATAATATTGTAAAACAAAGTTTAAAATATTTTTTACTGAACTTGAGAATGAATATTTATAAAAATTAAATAATATTATAAAAACAATGTTTAAAATATTTTTGACTATAGAAATAAAAGGGCGGCCAAATTTGTGGTATGACAGTTGTCCCTATTTAATCATCTTTCGATTAAATAGTGCAAGAATACGCAGGTCTCACACGTTTGATCGGAATTTTATTAAATAGTGGAAGACCCTAAGATTTGTCTGAGATAACAATAAGGATACGTTGTACAACGTCCCCATGAGTATGAAGAATGGACATAGATGATGATGTATCATCCTATCAGCGTTTGTACCAAAGTTTTTAATCTAGACAAGACAATGCGGATGACCCGTCAGTACTTAAAGGGACTGTAGAATTTTGCATATTTACCGAAACTCGATAGCCGGATGAAAATATGGTAGGTTTGAAGTAATGGAACCCAAAACTCCCTGATGGTGTCGGTTGTGTCGTCCTCAACCACAACTATCAACGTGAAGAACACCAAATCTATGATGAAGTCGATTGTGTCATCCTCAACCACAATTATCAACATGAAGAAACTAAACACCAAATTCACGATGAAGTCGGTTGTGTCCTCAACCACAACTATCAATGTCAAGAAAACCAAATTCATAATGATGTCAGTTATGTCGCCCTCAACCACAACTATCAACGTGAAGAAACTAAATTCATGATGAATTCGGTTGTGTCATCCTCAACCACAACTATCAACATGAAGAAAATAATCAGCAAATTCACGATGAAGTCGGTTGTTTCGTCCTCAACAACAACTATAAACATGAAGAAAACCAAATTCATAATGATGTAGGTTGTGCCGTCCTCAACCACAAGTATCAACATGAAGCAAATATACCCCAAATTCACGATGAAGTCGATTGTGTCGTTCTCAACCATAACTATCAACGTGAAGAAAAATAAACACCAAATTCATGACGAAGTCGGTTGTGTCTCCCTCAACCACAACTATCAACATGAAGAACACAAAATTCATGATGAAGTTAGTTGTGTCGTCCTCAACCACAACTATCAACATGAAGAAAATAATCACCAAATTCACGACGAAGTCAGTTGTATCGCCCTCAACCACAACTACCAACATGAAGAAAATACACCCCAAATTCACGATGAAGACGGTTGTGTCATCCTCAACCACAACTATCAACATGAAGAAAACCAAATTCATAATGATGTTGGTTGTGTCATCCTCAACCACAACTATCAACGTGAAGCAAATATACCTCAAATTCGTGAAGAAGTCGGTTGTGTCATCCTCAACCACAACTATCAACGTGAAGAAAATATACCCCAAAATTGCTCTAAAGTTTGAACTAAAAGTTCGCACAAATAAGCTTGCTAATGATAAACCCCAAGAAAATTTTTAATTCTAACCAAAGTAGCTCTACAAGATGCACTGCATGCATAATACCCTGAATTGATGTGCTATCCAGGTGTGATGTATGCCCAAAATGTTTTTAAATGCTCATGCGTCAAAATGCTTATGTTTGTATATGCCCCAAACGTTTGTGTATGCCCTAAATGCTTGTATATGTCCCAAAATGCTTATATATGCCTTAAATGTATGTGTATACCCGAAATGTATGTGTATGCCCCAAGTATTTTGCAAATGTTTTTGATAATTCTATTTTTTTAAATCATCGGGGTATCTTAATCACTAACTCCCCAACATTGTTTTTTGCCAATGTTGTACCTCCAAGTTGATTTGAATTTGGTGAAAGATGTTAGCAAGATCTTGAGGTCTGTATCGTAGGTGTGGGAGTAGGTATGGATGTAGACGTGGATGTTGACATAGTCGTAGAAGTAGGCGTGGGTGTAGAAATAGGTGTGGATGTGGACATTGGCGTAGATGTTGATATAGTCGTAGACGTAGGCATGGGCACAAATTTTCTTTCGATGCTCTTCTAACCAAAAATTCTTTTTTGATGCTTTTATCACATTCTCTTTGGTGTTTCTGTATGTTAGATGAACCAAATGTTATGGATGACCTTGAGATTTTGATATGGTTATGTGTATGTCATGCTTGATGTGAGGCTCTTAGTGGGAAATCTACTGCCGAGATTTCCAAGGAACCTACTATCGAGATTCGATTGTGAGCTACCTTTTGCCGAGGTCTTCCAGATAATCAACTATTATGATCAACCAGGAGAATCTACTGCCGAGATTCGTTGTAAATTACCTTCTGCTGAAGTCTTCCGAATAATCTAATGTCGTGATTAGCTAGGGGAATATTCTGCTGAGATTCAATTGAGAAATACCTTCTGCCGAGGTCTTCTAGATAATTAACGGTTGTGATTAACCAGGGGAATCTACTGTCGAGATTCAATGTTGAATTGATAATTTGATCGACAATGATGATTGTCTTCACATAAAAATGAGTTTTATGTTATGCGTGCAAATTTGATTGATACATGAAATGTGATGATTAATTGATGCATGAAATGTGATGATTGATTGATGTATGTGATGGGTGACTTAAATATGTGTGAATGGATGTTGGATTTTTAAATTTGAATGCGTCATTGGGATTTTTTTTACATATGCTCGACCCATGTTGTCTGACTTCGTCATATGGATGAGGTGATAAGTATAGCTTGGTTTTGGATCGAGGAACCCTAATGCATGATTTATGCAGCCTTATGCTTTATGATTATAACTTGAATGCTCTTTGGAATGGTGCCACTATGATGGGTCGTGGATGATTAAAGCGTAGAGGTTTGCTTATGCAACAAGGTTGCTTTTCACATAATGGTAGAGTGTTGTGCTTGCATGATTTCTTGATACTCAATTTGAACTCAAAGATTACTGCTGTAGGAGGAGATTCGTTGGTGATTGTGAAAGTACGCAGGGAGCTTGCCTTATGTGGCTTGTCTTTCCCTAATTTGTTAGTAGGGTCTTGGAGGAGATTCTCATTGATATGAGCTTGGAAATAATTTTGTCATAATATGAACGACCCCACTATTTTTCATTATGCCCATGATTAAAAGACTTTTGAAAATGTTTGGATTTGATGAACCATTTTGAATCAACTCCTTTTGATCGAGCCTCGCAGTGGTTTGCCCCAATATTCAAATTTTGAAAGACATGCCCCTCAATCTCCAAGATTTGGAGGGAGTAGCTTCAGAAAAAACTTTGACCTCACCATGAACTTGACATAGATTGCCTTAAGTATTCGAAGCTTGAAAAGTTTGTACTTGAAGTTGCTTGGAAGATTTGGACCCTATGTGCAGTAGAATGAACCTGATACGCACTGCCCCTGCATTTGGATCTTGGGAGGTTTCCCCTACTTCCAGGCCTTGAGAGGTTTGTTAAAATGAGGAAACCGGGTCATACCCTGTTGTGGTATGACTTGATTAAAGAATTCCCCTTTGAAAGATATGCCCCTTGTTGACCAGTGCTCTGAAATTTGACCCAAGTTGATTAAATCTTGGAATGATCACCCCTTGTCAATAGTGTCTTTATGTGATATACCCCTATGATCATTAGTTTTTGCCCCTGTTTATAGG